TTCACTACGTTGTGTGGTTGACATATCGACCCAAAACGTGTCCTTTACAAATGTAGGAACCCAATGATGCCTCTCTTTATACAAATTATCTAATCACAACTTTTCACGAAGGTTGAACTCAGTAATGAATTGCTCCCACTTTTCTTCAAACTCTTCTTTCTCCAACGATTCATAAACAACACTACGCAAAACACCTTTTATTTTTTTGTACAACTTGTAGCCTCTTAATTTCTCTGGTATCTTTTTCATTATATGTCATAAACACCAACGATGTCGAGTGTTAGGAAACACAGCCCAATAGCTTTTTGCATCGCTTTGTCTTGATCTGTAATTATAGCACACGGTGCACCTTCAGACATGCATGCCAACTAAGTACGAAACAACCTAAGGTAACAATGTCCTCGCTTGATAGTAACCAACATCCAAATAAAATTGAGCGTCCATGGTGATTTACACCCACAAAAGGTGCAAATGGCATGCCATACTTATTTGTTAAGCAGGTCGTGTCAAATGTAACCACATCACCAAATTCTTCATAAGCTTCCACGCTCCTTGCATCAACCCAAAATAAATTCCTAATTCGAGCATTATCATCTACATCCATCATATAAAAGAAGTTTGAATTCTTTGCTTGCATTCAAACAAAATAATTGTGGATTGCTAGAGCAGCTCGAACACCAAATCGTAATTTTCTCTTCTTATCAATGTAATTTCTACAATCTTTCTCCAAAAATGAGACATTATCGTGACCACCAGCTTTCATAACAAATGATTGATAATTCTTCACCAATCCAATCCCAGCTCGATCATTTAATTCAAGATTTCTCTTAGCACCTAATTTCTCTATTACATGAGTAAAATCGTGATTTCTGTGGACTCAGTCCATGATTATGCTCCAGCCTAATAGAACTTATCTTGTACTTTCCATCTTTTAATACATAAGTGTTAACCTTAGTCTTGCACCCCAATTTCGACAATGGGTTATGATTGAGGTAATTTTGTTTTACAAACTTTGAATTCCCTGGTCGACAACATGACACGCAAACAAATGTCAAATCTCCAAATGATCATGTTGATCTCTTTTTAACTCCAAAGCCTTCT